ACTCAGCACCCACTTCTACCCAGGATCCTCAGGAGGCTGCAGAGGATAAAAAGCCCTGGGGAAAACACTGACAGGGGCTCAGAGCTGTCCTGCATTGTTTCTTTGACACTTCCTATTTTGCCTGAGACTCTCATTAATGAAAAGGGTTGGGGGAGGAAAGGGAGGCAGGGAGACTGATTTTCAATGTCTTGGTGCTGTAAATGCAAAAAAAAAAAAAAAAAAAAAAAACAGGACCCTATCTCACTACTGGTAGATAGCATAGCCAGGAACCAGGATCTATAAATAAGTCTCTTGAGTTTCAAATACACTGTTCTGCCATGTTTTGCTGCTTCTTTCTTCTAGACAAGCAGTTACTGTAATTACAAAGGAAGTCCATGATGGCAAAGGTACAAGGAATAGAGAACTAGTGAAGAGGAACTGCAGCCTTACACAGATACTTTGTAACCCATAAAAATACACTACCAGATAAAGCTTGATTAAAAAAAAAAAGTGACTCAATCATTTCCTTAACATAGAAGCATCTGTTCTTTATCCATATATGCATTTTAACATCATCACAACGGTAGTGGATGCACTGTTTTATAAACTGATGTTTTGTCCTTAACATGCTGTTTTGGTTTTTGTATTTCTTCTAATTTTAATGGCTTCTGACAGCCCCTAAGATTGGTAGAGCTTATTTAAATAGCCTCGATTCTGCCTGCCAGAAGGTCTGAGTTCTCTACCAAAAGCTTTCAGCAACTGGAACCAAGGAGGAAAATATAAAATATGCCTTTTTGTGAAAGACAACAAGATGTCTTTCCTTAGGGTCATCTGCATATGGCCCACAAAAAAAAAATATCTGAATTCATAGAAAAGGATGCATTTACACAAATCCACCACTCTCCTACAGAATTGGCTATGCTACAATTCTCACGTACTGCTTCCTAGGCCCACTAATTTTTGCTAAATTAATCATTACATTTTAAACTCAAAAGATCCCATTAAAGAACAGGTATACAGAATTCCAGGATACTGAAGGGCCCCAGAGCTGTGAGAGACATAATGCTAGTATTCTCAATGTGCATTTTACTAGGCTCATGGGCAAGCTCTAGGCACCAAAGGGACCCAAGCAGGACGCTGACTGGGTGCTCAATAAATGCAGTTGTCTCTTGTATGATAGGTTCCAGGAATCTCCTCAGATATCAAAAACATCAAAAACCTTGAATGTTTCAAGTCCCTTCTACAAAATGATGTAATGCAGAATTTTAATATAATCTACACAATCCTCCCATGCACTTTAAATCATGTCTAAATTACTTGTGATATTTAATACAACGTAAATATTAAAATATTTTTTAAAATATTTTTCAATCTGAGGTCGGTTGAATCTGTAAATGCGGAAGGCACAAATTGGAGGACAGACACTGAAGAACCAACTAGCACTTTGGTCAAGTCTACATATTCCTGCTCTGAGGATTAGAGAACATTTGAGTCATTCACTTGGATGACCTCATGACAAAGGAAATGACCTGGAACCGTAAGTAATCACCTAACACTTCCTCAGAGGTGACTCCAGGTGGGGAACAATCAACAAACATCTGAGTATTTGCCACCCGTGCTGGGTGCTGGAAATACAGTGTACTCAGTCTGGCACCTTTTCACTGCAGCCATAAAGCCAGGCACTAATACTCAGCTCTGCAAACTCTGGAATGCCAGTTCATCTCAGGTTTCAAGTGCGTGAATAAGTCAGCACCTGGGGGCAGCAAGCATGCTACATAACAGTCTCTCAATGTTGGCTATTCTGTGATTAGAAAGACATACTTAAACTGTATGTACTGCCCATAAGTTCGGCTTTAAAGTTCTCCTTGCCTTAGGCAAAAAAAAAAAAAGGTGCCTTTACATTCCTTATGGTCCTCTACTTAACCAAAGGATGGACTTTGACTCCTGAGCCTTTCTACCCACCCTAAGGATGCATGTTGACTACTGAGCATCTTTCACCTCCCCTAAGAATGAACTTTGACTGTCTGAGCATTCATTCTCAGCCCCACCATACAGAAGCCTTGCAAACACTACATCCTGTGTCTAAGATCATGGATAATTTTTGGTGTGTGAAACAATATTATTTGAGGGTAGGTACTAGGTCATGGTAAACCTGTCTATACAGCAATGCAGAGCTTAATTTTAGATGAAGGTGAAATCAATTTAATATTGCAGATATACTGTGCAACTTAAGAAGATGAAAAAAAATTTCCTTAAAATACACTTTCTTAATGTGGGGACTAAAGGAGTCAGGAATACAGCTGGGGGACTTTTAGTTTTACTTTATGCTATATAAACTCCATTGGGAATGAAAGTGCTCAGTTACTTTGATATCAAGTGTGATGGTACATCATTTTAGCCACCTTGATTGTCATTACTATGAAAAGGCATTTTCTGTTCCACCAGAAAAAGCTGCCCAAAGGCTTACTCTGCATAATTTAGAGAGATGGGCTCTGCTCACATTTGAGCATGACTAGATCACAAGACCTTACTGAGAAACCCCCCCTAAGAACACGGTTTAATGGAGAGTGGGGTGGGGGGGGGGTAAGATTTTAAAGCTTAGTTTAAATCTTGCCAAACTATCTGGAGCCTCATGGCCTTGCCTAAATTACTCATCTTTCTGTGGGTCTTTCTCCCCACCGCCAAAATTAAGAAATACATATCCTGGGGCAACCTGATTAGACCCAGAGATAGAAATTGTAAAGCTCTTAGTACATAAAATACACACACACACAAAAAATAGTTCCTATAACCATCTCAATATGAAATTTCACTGTAATTCCATATCTGATTAGAAAATGACCCTAAAAATGAGACCAAATTCTTATCCTTGCTCTCCAGCTATTATGCAAAAATCTTCTCAGAGAAAAATCAAATACTAATACATTCAAGCCAAAATGATGAAAGCATGGGAGTATAATAGATATTATCTCCAGGAATAACTCCCTCTAAGGATTGGTAAACCTGTTACTGCCAAGGCCAGAGCCTCTGAGCATATATCTTGAGGCCAGCTTTCTCAGAAAGCAACGTGGGCAACTCTCAAGCAGGTCCAAGAAAACACCACAATAAGACTCGGTGGTTTCATGGAGCCTCAGGAAAATGAATAATGGCTTCATCCTCTAGCAAGGGAGACTATGGTTGGTTTCTCCAGTGAGAGCCCAGAGCTGAAAAAGCACCAGGCCATTTTCCATGCCACCTGCTAAACTAAGAGCAGCCATCTCCCACTAACCAAGCCCAAAGTTCTCAAACAATTTTGATTTTCTAGGTATCTTTTCTGCTGAAAGGGGAGAGATGGACATGTTAGTATTACTTAAGCTATTATTAAGTATTTATAACTTCTCACAAATGGCAGATTCCGGATAAGCAACAGAAAACTGATTCTGCAAATTGCAGCAGTATCTCATAGGTTTGTACTCCAATCACCAAGTATTTTGGCAAACACTGGAACAAGTATTTTAACAAACACTTTATCAATCAATACAGCATCTTCATTCTAAAGTAATCTTGATGTGCAGCCCTGATGGCTTGGAGACTAGTTCCTCTTCCTGTGGCTATGGCTGCTTCTTCAGCAGCCCAGGATAAGATTCAAAGTGCTTCCTAACTTGACCAAGCACGAGGTCTCTGGGAAAATGCAGATGCTTTTGAAGCCCTTGGACTGGGAAGCCACTCAGGTCACAAGACAGACCTTCAGGCTGCCCTACACAAGCACATCTTTAGGCATTTATTTAAATAACTCAGGCGATGTTATCTCCTGTTTCAGTCTCCTGTTTTTCCAACCCCAGCCTTTGCTATCTCACAACATTTTCCTTCCCTAGGAAAGCAGCCCTTCATAAGGAATGTTTACACTGGGGCTCTCCTTACTATAATACCAATTCTAGAGCAATCCTTTCTCCGACTGAGGAAGGAGGGCCTCCAAGGTGCGGGTGGTGACTGGTGCAGCGCTAACAGACTTTAAAGCAATCAGGACAGTCTCACTGGAAACTCTCTCTCGATAGCGCGGGCTTCCTACGCTGGCGCACCCGACGCTAGGCTCCGGGGATGCTGCCCCAGTGTCCCTCGAGTCCCATCCGGCCAAGGCGCAGGGGCGGCGACGGGCTGGGCATCACGTAGGCTCCCGCAGCGGGCGGGGCGGTGCTCACGACTCCCCAACCTGCCGCCCCCGCGCCAGCACAGCCTGGCCCCGCCCCGCTCAAGGGCGAAGGGAAGGTCACCCACGGGGTGGGCAGAAGGCGGGCTACTGGGCTCATCCTCGGAGCATCCCTCCTCGGTGTGTAGCCTCAAAACGGGAGGAATGAGGCATCAGTGCCTTTATACTCATCTGGGAGAAGAGGGGGAAATAAAACCAAAACCCAGCTCAGGGAACATGTGTCCAGCCCGCGTGATCTTGAAGGCTCCAAGGGTGTGTTCACCTGAGACGCGCACATCCACTTTACAGTAGTTGGTTTACCCTCACTAGGGATTTATATGTACCGGGGAACCCCACAGTCAGGGAATCCTGGCGCCCCACGTGCACCCGGGCTAAAGGCCTTGTGAGCGGCTGACCACTCTCCATGTCGAAGGGTCCCAGGCTTGGGCCCCTTCCGCCTTGAAACCAGTCTCCACGTAGGGGTAAAGGGCAGCCCGGAGTCCGCGCCCCGAGTGCTGGTGACGTCCCGGAGTCCCCGCTTCCTGGTCTTTCCCGTCCAGGGGAGGCTGGCAGGGAGGGCCTAGTGACCCATTTTTGTTTTCACTTTTGTCATAAGCCGGAAGATGACAGGAGGTCAGAGCAGAGAAACCTTTTTTAAAATCTCCCGGCGGAAACGTCGGGCGCAGCGGGTTAGCCGAGGCAGCACAGAGGAGGGACCCCCGGCGCGACCCCCGCAGCGTCCCGCAATGCAGCAGAGGGGACTACGCTAGCGCCGCGCGGGGGGCGCGAGTCAGCAGGAGGCGCGGTGTCGGGGGGGGGGAGAGCTGTTTTGCCTACAATTGGGGGGGCTGGGAAGATCCCGCAAAGGGTGGGTACTGTGACATTCGAGGAGTCGTGCGGTACTCAAACTCTGGCAGGGATGCCTGGCTCCATTCTATGACTCAAATACAGAACGACCTCCAAGGGTGGTTCCACCCCATTGCCATTATTGCTAAAATAGACCTGGAGGTGGAAAATTAATTTATCTTCTCGATGAAGAATACTACCGCCATATTCTCCGTCCTCCGCACCCCGCCCTGCAACTAAGTCCCATCGCCGGCTCCCGTCGCCCCCAGGAACCCTTGATGGCCCTAGGTAACAGGTCTTCTCCCCACCCTACACCATCGCTTCTCCGCGTTTCTCCCCAGTCCCTTTCCCCATCTCTTTTCCCGGGCACTCCAGCCCCCATCCCTTCTCCTGGGTTCCCACCCCATCCATTCTCCCCAGCCATCCTCCCGCAACGTTTCTCCCAGGTTCTTCCCATCCCCCTCCCCCCCTCCGTTCCAGTAACCCCTTCCGCCGCCCTCCTCTCCCGCCCGGGTTCGGGAAGCGGGCGGGCGCGCACCTTGGGCATCCCCGCCGCTGGTGAGCACACCGATGGCTTTGCCGGACCCGGAGAGGTGCTCCAGGTACCTCGGGAAGGACCCCTTGGGGGTCAATGGGACGCTGCTGGCCATGGCGAGGAGGCCAGAGACTGCCGGTTCGCTCGGGTACGCAGCAAGAAGTGAGGACCTGGCCCACGCTCGCGGGCCTCGGAACCGCCGCCCCGCCCGCACCGGGCAGGAACCGCCTCCGCCCGCCCGAGAGCCAATGGGCGTTGGCGGGCGGGGCCTGCGCGCGGGCGGGGCTTGCGGGCGCGCCGCCATCTGGGCGTGGGGTGGGAGGAGCACGGCAGGTGGGGGTCTGCAGCACCCCGGGATTTTGTAGGTGGAACAGGGTCAGGAGAGGTGCAGATGCGGGGGGAGGGCTTACGGGGAGCATCCGCGGGTGGGGAGACCCCAGGCTGAGAGGCCCGGGGTGGGGATGCCGCAGGTGGGCGGAGCGCAGCAGGTGGGCGAGAATTTCGCCAGCCGAACGTCGCCGCGTTAGGTAGGAACCGCTCTGGTGGGACTCGGAGATTCCTGGTGAACCCGAGTCGCCCCTGTGGTTGGGGTCCCAGTCGTCACAGAGACGCATGCACTGCTTCCCACGGGATTATTCCAGGAGAAGCGCCGGGAACAGTGGATCTGCCCCAACGTTTTTCTCTGAGATCGCACAGGTTTCCCCTCCTTCTGAGATCAGGGAGTAAGAACGTGTGAGCGGATCTTCAAGTTGGTGGGAAAACGTGGGCGTTGCGGACTGAGAGATGACAAAGCTGTCATTTCTCGGGTCGTCTTTAGAGCGCTGGCGCTTCTGGGTCCTCCAGCTCTGGGCTGGCAGAAACAAAAGGGATTGAGACTAGGAGAACTTATGGACGCCACCCTCTGAGACATTCTCGCCTCCAGGCCTGGTCTGGAGAATCCGCGTGTAGCAGGAGAAGGCGCGACAAGGAAGCCATGAGGCTGGAGAGTAGGACAGCTCTCCTACCTGAAGAAATCTATCAAGGCATTGCCAGCCAGATAGCTGCTCTACTGGAAACTACAACATCTGAAATGTCTGTAGTCAAAATCTTGTGCGATTGATGAACAGTAAGTTAATTTTTATGGAGCTTCACCTAGTGCTGTGGTGCTTCAGGAAGCAGTCTCTTGAGATACATATCTCCTTCAGTGGTAACCCCAAGAGTTTCATAAAAGACCCCACACCCACACCGTGGTTCAGGGTCGGGGTGGCAGTCCGCTAGCCTTCTTTCTGCACAATAAATGTTTGTTGAACGGTAAAGAAAATAAAATAAAGAAACTGAACAAAGGCTGCAAAAGCAACACAAACTGTTTTTTTACGTTTGACAAAAGATGGTGGTATGCGAATTTACATGGGTTTTGCCTCCGGCTCTGACTCATCTCTCTGAGCATCAAAAAATAAAAAATCACATTGGTGGTGCCTGCATGGTCTGATCTCTGCTTAGGCCAGAATTGGTTCCTAAGCCCCAAGATCATCAGAATCACCTGGCCTCTCCACATCCCTGAAGTCCAATTTGTAGGAATGCACTCAGGGAATACACATTTTTAACAAGCTCCTTAGGTTACTCTGATGAATGCATAATTTGAGAGCTGTCGTCTATGAATTAGCATAGACACTATTATCCTAATAATTGGGAGAATCACCTTTTTTGGTTGTTTTCCTTTGTTAAATTTGTTCTTTCTAATTATACAAAACAGTAGAATGTATTTTGACATATAGGTACATGGAGTATAAATCCCCATGTTTGTGGTTGTACATGATGTGGAGTTACATTGGTCGTGTATTCATATATGAACATGGGAAAGTTATGTCTGATTCACTCTACTCTTTCCCATTCCAATGTCCCCTCCCTTCCCTCTATTCGGCCCTCCCCAATAGAGTGAATAGATGGGCTTATTTCACTTAGCATGCTAGTCTCCAATTCCATTCATTTACTGGCAAATGTCATTATTTCATTCTTCTTTATGACTGAGTAATATCCCATTGTGTATATGCACCACATTTTCTTTATCCATTCATCTGTTGAAGGATACCTAGTTTTATGGCTTAGCTATTGTGAATTGAATAACAGGTGTTTGAAGTTGGCAGTGGCAGTGCCATTTATCTTGCCAAGACAGGAGGTTCCAGGCTCTAAGCACCCTTACCCACAGAGGTTTCTGTAGCCCAGGGCCTAGGGTCTGTGCTGTAGGAGTGTCAATCATTCATTCCTTTCTAAAGCAAATAATATTTTAAAAGATGGTCCACACTGACTTTTTAGTGCATTGCCCTTTATCTTCTCATGCAATTATTTTCATTACATAAAATTACAGGACTGGTCATTGGTTATCAAATTGTCTGAAATATAGAAAATGATAGGTACAACCTCAGATTACTAACATAATAATGAGTTAAATTATGGCAAAAATATAAACTGGAATATTTTAGTTAGAAAGATATATTCACATGAAAATACACCCAGGATATATAAATAAGTGAAGAGGCAGGCTTGGAAGCAGTGTGAGCCTCTGTGTGTACACTAGCCTAGGTATTTTTAGTTCCATTCTCTTGCTTATTCTGAATATTGTCTTCCCCCCACACTTAAAAAAAAAAAAAGTATGGGTTTTAGAACAAAAATAGTAAATTTAAAACAATAGCTGGGCCTGGTGGTGCATACCTGTAAACCCAGTGAAGCTCAGGCAGGAGGATTGCAGACTCAAGGCCAGCCCCAGCAACTTAGGGAAACCCTGTCTCAAAAGAAAAAATAAAAAGGGCTGGAATGTGGTTCAGTGGTAGAGCGCCCCTGAGTTCAATCCTCAGTACCCAATGAAGAAGCAATATGATTTAGAGTTGTCAGCTCCTCAAAGTTACGTATATTTTCCAGAAGCTTGAGTCTATGTTATGAAGAGTTGTGGCTCAGGTACACAGTTGATCATTCAGCCATGGACATGAGGAGCTCTAGCCCCACGCTCAGTTGATTAGGATATTAATATATGACAAAAGTTAATCGTTAAAAATAGCCATCACTTATTTTTTTTCTTTGTTTTTGCATTACAGTATTTTAATAGTTCTTTAACTGGGGGATGTTTTTAAAATTTGGGCCTTAGGAAAGAATCCTCTACTTCAGGAGAGGACCTTGCATCTCTCCTAACTTGTGTAGCTTACACCAGTGGGAGGTGGTGGGTGTGTTTTACTTCTGCCTAACACATTACCCTAAAAAGCTCTGTGGCTCATACCAATACACAGTAGTTTTATGGTCCAGGCCCTCAGGCAGGCTTCACTTGGTCATCTGCTTCTGGGTCTCCCTGAGGCTGTAACAGGTGTCAGTCCCTGTCTGAAGTGGTGCCCGGAAATTCAAAAGGGGAAGGAACAGTTTCCAAGATCACCACCATGGCTGTTGGTAGGATTCAGGTTCACTCTGGCCACAGGCTGACCTCAGCCCTTGCTAGGCTGAGTCTATTATAGGATTATGTGACAAGAACCAGTGAGACTGGGCACCATGAGTAACTCACAGCCATTGCTACCTAGCCTCAGGGGAGACCGACCTGCTGTCTTTTTGACTTGTTCGTTGGAGCACTAAGTCCAGTGTTCCAGTGGTGTGAACACTGGGGACCAGAGACCACTAGAAGTCATTCTTGGGGCTGCCTAGGGCAAGGGGAAGTACAGCACAAGCTGGGAGTGGATGCCTTTCTAGCTCTTCTCTACAGGGACTATGAAGCAGCAGCCTGCCCCGAGTTCTGAGCTTCTGGAAAAGGGGAGCATTTCACCAGGTCAGCAAGCAGGCTGAACACTGCCAGGAGGGAGCCCCACTTCAGGATGCCTCAGGTACGTTGGGGTACCATCCTTGCTCTTCTGCTATCATTAAGCTGGGGCCTTTCCCCCGCCCACAGTGGACTCCCAGTGTCTGGGAAATTGGTATCTCACCCCTGCAGGGACCGTCAATGAACTCCAGTCTCTGTACCTCCAATCTTCCTCGCTTCCATTTCTGGTGACTTCATCTTCTCAGCCGCTCAGGCCGAAACCTTAGGGCACTTGCCAGCCTCTGACATCTGAAAGCCATTGGAAAATCCTGCAGGAATACTCTCCTGGGCTGCTTAGTACCGCTAGTACCACCCATGTCTAGGCCACTGTCCCTGACATGGACCAAGTGACAGCTTCCTCTCTGCTCTGGCCCGCTCTCCTTTCTGTGGGTGTCAACCCGGAAGCCAAAGTGGGATGACTAAAATGTCATTCAGGGCCCTGTCCCTTCTCCAGTGACCCCCATTCACTCAGGGTAAAGGCCATTCTCTCTGCCTGTAGAACATCCGGCTCCTTCCTGTGCCCTGTTCTCCCAGAAGCTTCTCTAATCCCACCAGCCCTGCTCTGCCCCAGACCTGCCCAGGTGGATGAAGGTCTCAGAGCCACTGCACCTGCTCTTTCCTCAGCCCCAGGCACTGGCTTCTCACACTCACCCAGTCAGTTTGCTCAGTCATTGGGCAAGGTCTCCTTCATGGAGCACCCTGTTAGAAACTGCAGCCTCCACACATCCTCCTCCCCTTCTCGCTCTCCTCCAGAGGCGTGGCTCGCTACTGTCACCCGCAAGTTTACCTGGTTTCCCCTGTTTACTTGGTTCCTTGGCAGGTTTCTCCCCACTGGACTCCAAGTGCTGTGAATACAAAAGTCTTTGCTTATTCACAGAGGCAGTCCCAGGTCCTCCAACAGGGCCTGGCATACACGGAGCTGTGTTAGCTTTTTGTTGTTGCAACCAAAATACCCAATAAGAGCAACTTAGAGGAGGGAAAGGGATTTTTGGCTCAGAGTTCCAGAGGTTTAGTCAGCCCTCTGACTCCACAGCTCTGGGCCCAAGGTGAGGCAGAACATCATTGTGGAAGGACTTGGAGCAGCCCTGCTTCCCTCGTGGCAGTTAGGAAGCAGAGAGAGGGGGAAGGGGCTTCAGGGAAGATGCACCTTCCAGGGCAAGCCCTCCGTGACCCCCCTACTCTAGCCATGCCCCACCTGCCTACAGTCACCATCCAGTCCATTCAATGGGGTAGACTGATTAGATTTCAACTCTCACAGTGTAATCATGTCAGCTCCAAACATGCTGCTTTCACACAGGAGTGTGTGGGGGACACTTCAAATCCAAACCATACAGGAGCACACTCCATCAGTACTTACTTACTTACTTACTGAATGAATGAATGAATGAATGAACAGGTGGGTGGATGAAGAGTGAGAGGATTTCTCCCCGAAGGGGTGGGGCATCTCTCTACCTGCTGCAGTCGCCATGGCTGAGGACAGCCCGTGGGCCATGCTGGACTCAGTACCTGGCCCCCAGGATGCCCCATCATTACTGGCCTAAGGTAACTTCAACCCCCTTGGAGTGTCCCCTTATCATTATTAGAAACAGTTTTGGCAGTACTTAATATATTCAGGCCCATTTGTTACTTTCCTTTTAAATGTCCATCATCTGTCAGTCTTGAAATCCTTCACCCCTGCTCCCACAGCACTGTGTTCCCCTCTTTGGGAATTCCTGCTGTGTAATAAAATACTCCCAGGGTTGTAGGAAGTCAAGAACAGCCAGATCAGGTGAGACGGTGAAGCCCCGCGCCTCTCCTCACTGCCTCCGCCATCCTTGCTCCTTCTCACTAGGGTGGCCCAGGACAGCTTGGCTCAGTGTCATCAAACTTGGATAAAAATGTAAGCAGCTTAGGATACTGTAGGTGCTCAGGATGAATCCCTGGGCTCTAGCACTGTCCTTGCCACTAGGGACGCAGACTCCCAGAGATCCAGACTCTGCCCTGTCTTGGCCACTCCCTTCTGTTCCAATCCCTGGGCTGCCTCTGAGCTAATGTGCAACCACAGCTGCCTGACATCCTTTCTGTCCTGTGCCTACTCTACCCTCCTTCTCACTTGCCCTCTCTTTCCTGAGATTGAGTAAATTCAGGAGGAAGTGAAGCCACCTGCTGGACTAGGAGATCCTTCAACCCTTGCCTCTCCCTCTAGCTGCAGGTCAGATTGCCTGTCCTTTAAACTAACTTAGCTCTCCACCTGGCAGTTAAACTTTAAATGATTTAGGAAACAGTGGATGTTTCCCAAGGCTTCGAAGCAGGATCATGCTATCCTGAAATAATATCTAGAAACTGGAAAAAGAACAAACGAAAAATGTTTAATTTCTGTAAAGTATGAGGCCATTACGAATTTTGACTTCTCTGGGCCATTTCATCAATGAGTAAGTACACTGGGCTGGGGATGTGGCTCAAACGGTAGCGCTCTCGCCTGGCATGCGTGCGGCCCGGGTTCGACCCTCAGCACCACATACCAACAAAGATG